AATCCTTCCACTTATAAAGCTTCTTGTATTGCTTAGTATAAAATATCTGAAGATAATGACTAAATGCCTTTTAAAAGAAAAAGCATACTGAGACAAGGGGGAAGAAATTAAGTAGCAAGGTAGACAAATAAGACAAAAGCAGGGGTATTGATGACATTTTAGTAAAGCATTAGTGAATATTTTAAAGTATGCAGAGGCTTAAATGACCTGGCTTACAAATAAGAGGTGAATTCCCCAGCTAAATATTTGAATGTCAGAGCACTTAGGTGAGCTGTTTAATCCATATTTGGGCACTCACCTTTTGATCTCAAATTCACTTCTTATTTGCATCCCAATTGTTGCAGGAGCACAGAAGGCTCATCTTCAGGAAAGGCTTTAGAATATGCCAAATAAACATGCTCAGTCCTATCTCAGCAAATTACCACAATTCTGATTTTTACACCTACTTAAAAAACAAAACCAAAACCAAAAAAAACCCACCACCAAAGAAACCACCAAAACCTCAAAACCAAACCCAAGGAGCTCTCAGAATGAATTATAAAAACCTTTTCAAGAAAGTAAAGAAACCCTAAGAACAGGAAGCATTACTGATAATAAGATCTTCCTGTGTTTTAAAAGGATCCTTCAACAGAGCTGTCTTGAACAACTGGAACTTTTTATACCTTAGCCCTTCCCCAGTTTCCTAGTGTGCAATCAAAGCCACTTTTTATTATTTTTAGATGAAACACTGGAGCAGTCAGGGAAGGCGGGGAAGAAGAAAGCCTGAAAAATAAAAATCTGAGTGAGTGATCAGGAAGGAGAAGTTGCTTTCATTTTAAAGAGATCTTTCTTTATTAACATGAGTTAAACCTAAGGCATATCTTCTATGCAGCTGCCCAGAAAACCTGGGCATGGTTATGCATGAAGGGGCTGTCAGCCTTTGCTGTTATAATCACACTGAAATCATTATGCGTTTTAGACAAAATTTATTTAAAACTACCTGGGCATCCTCACACTTCCAATTAGCACCATCATTTTTTGCCTCTGGTGTCCTTCAAATATTCATGGATGCTTGCTTATTCTGCCATCTCCTCGTTCTCATTCCTGCCTCTCTGTCATAGCCTACTACTGCTACTGTGTTTTTAATGCTAAGCCTTCTGTTTACAGTGCCAGCAGCCTAAGACATTCACACGGAGATGCTGAGGATTTTTGTTTCCAGACTTCCATGAATAATCATAGGGCTGCAGTATAGTAAAATTTCTCTGTGTTAGATGTCATGGAAAATGGATTAAAATTCATTAGACACAAAGGAAAACTTTGGATCTACCCTAGAAAGGCATCTTTTGCATGTCCCAGAGGAGAACTGCTTTTGTTCTCTTCAGAAGTAGAGATCCCCTCCTGCACTGCAAGGATCCAGGAAATCTTGAATTTGTGTTTTGGGGCAAAGCCCAGCAACAGCAAGGCAGATAGAACAGCTGCAATTTTATCTTCTTCTTCTGGAAATAAGCACAACAATGATTTTATTTTATTTTTCTTCCTCAATTTGCCAGATTCTCACCAATTGCTGTATGTTCCTGAGCTACCTGAATTCCCTCAGTCTTTTGTCTACTTTTCTAAGGAAATTGGGAGAGGAAAGTGGGAGAAAAAAGTCTTTCCAGGTTGGAAAATGAGGCAGTATTTTTGGACAAAGGAAGTATAGGAAGTGACTTCATTCTTTTGCAAAGGGAAGTGATAGTTATAATGGCATGAACAGTGCTATACAAACTAGTGGCTAATCTCAGTGCCCATATAAATGCTGGATTAAAAGAGCATGAGATAGATAGTTCAGGAACTAAGCAGGATGCTGACTTTAAAATTGCTGAAGACTTAGCTGAAGACATTCAAACACAGTCACTTGCCCCTCTAGGGCAAGTGCCGAAGGACTCAGTTTGCATAGAATAGTGCAATTCAGGAAGAAATCCAATTACTGAACTAATTATCACCTTGGATGAGTGGTAACAACCAAATTTAAAGCAAGAGGTCACTGGAGAAAATCCCAAATCACCCACTGGTCCCAAAAGTTCACTTTGAGAGGTCCTAGTTGACAGCGAAAAGCCTGGGAGTAAAGGCATAGCTGGTTTGATTGTTAGGTGTAGTGTATTACAGTTTAATGCCATGCAAGTTCCCATTGCTTTCAAGAAGGTACAAACACAGCTTTGGCTACTGATGGTTGCGGAAGATTTTTAAAGTCTCAAATGAATTACCTGACTGAATTTATTCAACTAAACTGAATCTCAGGACAGAAGTTTTCTCTGTGTTAACTCTGTGTTACCTTAAGTCTCAAAAAAAAAAAAGCTTCAAAATATCTGTATAAGGATTTGAGTTTTTCTGATAGTGTCTGGAAAGGTAAATCCTTTCTTGTCTCATGTCCTGAGGCTTATGTTATAGCTGCTTAAGTAATCTTTACTGTGCTTGGTATGGACGATAAAGCCGCAATGGAGCGTGGTTTTGTTTTGTTTGTTAGAGCTGTTCTGTTTCCTTCCCTTCTTCCCAGTCAGGCTGCATTATCGGAGCATCCTGAAGCACTCATGATTTTCCCTGATGGTTTCATGCGTCTTTCTCTCAAAGGAAAAAAAAAAAAAAGGGAAGAAATGAAGCCAGAACTGGGTGCTAGGCAAAACAATTCCTGCTTATTATAGATTAGAATTTTCTGGACAGAAATGCTGTGAAAGCTTCAGGGGAAGAATAGTGTTGACTTGTACCTCATACTGCCATACTGATTTCAGAGGGACTGAAAGTTAATAAGGAGTCTCATAATCTTAGAACATATGCATTTAGAAATCAGCAGCGTTTCTCTGCTGAGAATAGAAAATTGATTGAATTCCATAACCTAATCTTTATGCTTACTCTTGCATGTGTTGCAATTGCGGGTGGATGTATATCAGGGTGGAAGAACTCTGACAACCTTTTTGAAGTAAAATCATTCTTTATATTCTGAGCTGCTTAGAAGGCCCTCCCTCCAGTTGCCATTTTCTGTTGCATAGGAAATGAAAATTGCACTTACAATAAGCTGAGCTAACCAGAAACAGGAAGATAAATAATACATCAAATAAAATGTTAATCTATGTGGATAATGTACTAATATTAATTACAAATAATTCCAATTAAGACTCATATTCTCTCCAAATGTATTTCTTGCAAACTAAGGAACATGCCTTTTAAAAGCAAATATCAGTTACTGGTAGGGAGCAGAAGTAAAGCAATTCTGTTCCTCTTCTGTCTACTACATGGAAGCCTGTATACAATTTTTCTGTTGGCCAGTTTCCCACAGCTTTTTGGCAAAGGATGTAGAGGGTGGATGAAAAGGCTTTCTAACATTAGGAGCATCAGTGGCATCCTTCTCCTGGTTGGCTTCAACATGGGTTTATAGCCTCAGCTCAGAAACTTCCAACCTTGTAAATAGACTCACAGAGTCTCTGCTGTGCTTCAAAGACAACATTACCCTGGGTTTACACCATCCTTTTTCAGGGTTATTTAAGCTGCTTGAAAACCTCTCATGTAGCTTATACCCTCTTTGCTGCAGTCTTCCTTGGGACATGTCTAAATTGTCGTAGTGAGTAGCTAAATTTGGGCTATCCAAGTTGCCTGGCCAACCATCAGCCAATTCAAAATCTCTGCCAAGCTCTGTACTCCACCCTAATGAGCCAGACCCCAGCCAGTCCCACCTGGCCATGCAGCCCCCCTCACAGTTTGACACAGGACATGATGAGGACCATACTTGGGTGTCTTCCTCAGTTCCTGTGCCTTGACACTTTTCCTGTCTGTTTTCAGGCTGGTGAACAGATGAGACTCACCACTGTCACATGTAATGCTGTGCTAACTGTAGCTTAGGGCAAACAACTTTGGCTTTCCCCATTTTCTGTTTTAACCCCCTTTTTCAAGGAATGATGATATTTGCATATGTGATTGACAGGTCTGCTAAAGCTAGTCATTAAGGGTAAAACTTTTGAGACAATATTCTTAATTAAGTATCCTGAAATTCTAAAGCACCACTGTCAGAGCAATATTTCAGGGAAAATTATATTTACTATAGTATTTCTGTTAGCCAGACTTTCAGTTGTACCCTGAAGGCTTGGGAGATGGATGCCAGGGAGATGCTTTAGACCGCTGGTGTTGAACATCCCTAGTCACCACAACAACCACTCCCTTCTGTTACGCACATGCTTGCCCACAGCGGTTTACTCTTTCCTTATTTTCACGCCTTGTTAGTGTCTTTTGTTACAGGTAGGAATCAAAGCTCAATCCAATCTACCTTTTAGTTGCTTTCTGTTCTATGACCATTTTTCCCATGCTGTTTATATTCCACTGCTGCAATGACAATACTGAGTAGGGAATATGTGATTCATAAGGGAGACAGAGTTACTGTCTGTATGGAATAAGACCCTGTAATTTATTCTTTTTCAAGTGATAAGAATGACCAGAAAAGCTCTCAGTGCTGCTAGCTAAATGTGAAACTGATATTTTTGTTGTTGTTTTTCCATAGATGTTATATACCCACAGCAATATTTTCACACAAAGAAAACAGCTTGAGTCCAGCTGTTTCCCTTAAGGCTTAAAATGGAAGAAAGACTGATTTAATAGTCTTTCTAGTCACTGTTTTGGTGGCACCTGGCTGAGGTGCTTCTCGAGCCAGTTCAATTATTTAAGTATGTAGTGTTGTGTATTAACACAGATGCCAAATTCTGAATGAACTCTTCCCCACAAGAAAGAAAACGGGGAAGAAAGAGTTTGAGGAAGAGGGGAAGGGGACACAGACACTTTTGTTTTGTGTGCTGATAAGCGACAATGTCAGTGCCCATACCGAAGTGAAAGAACTATATGTGCCTATTTCATGTAAACTGGTGAAGGGATTAGCATGTGAACTGCATAATGATGTACACACAGAATGCAAAGATACATTAAAAAGAAAATAAAAATATGTTTTGGGAAAAATCTCATTTAAAAAAAAAGAATTGGTTGTACAACATGTTTTTTATTTCCAGCACCAAAAGATCGGACCATTCCAACACCAGACTGGCAATTCAGATCGAAAAGGATGCAGGTACAGCCTGGGAGTTTGGGTTTTTCTCTTGATTTGCAAAATGTAATGTATTTAGACTGTCAAGGCTTTGCCTGGAAAGCTTTGCCTGGCTTCTCCTCCACGTATCGGTCTGTTTAATGAGCTCCAATCCTTGGCAATGTAAAGCACCTTCCTGGGCTGCCCTGAGCAGTTCCTGTGAGAGCAGGAAGTGAGAGCATTTTTTGGCAAGTCAGTGGACATGAAGAGAGTGTGGTACCTCAGCTGATGCTCTTCAGCACTTGGGAGGACACAGCCCTTTTCAGGGGAAACTGATGCCAAATTCTGGTCCCAGTGAAAAGCCAAAGTTTTGTGCATGGGTTTCTTCTGCTTTAATGTTCTGCAGCTGATTTTATTTTGCCACTCAGGTGTCAGGGGCTTGTATTGTGGAGATACAAGTTTACATTGTAATTATTATTGTTATATTTTTACGCCCTCAGTTTTTATCTTTATCCATCACATCAGTAGCATGAACAAATACACATCTTCAGTCAGAAATGGGTGTAATCCAGAGTGTACAAGAAAGCCACAGAGGTATTAGCACTTTGAGGCATATATAGTGCTTCTTCATTATTTATCATTTCAAGGCAGGGAGTTAAGATGTTTCCCAAGGCCATTTTGTCATCTGATAACAGTAACCTTTAGCATTATTATATATGCTAGTAAGTTAATTATATTTTAAAACCCATAGCTCAAGCAAAACGTTCCTTTTGTGTCTGTGTGAAATAATTAATGTTATGACTAATTTAGATTTTGACCAAATATATTCCAGGAGTTGTATAGCTGAGTATGTCCGTATGTGCATACAGGTGTATGTATGTCTACATATTATGCATACATATATGTAGGTATGCATGTATACATACATATTAGGGCTGAATGCGTAATGGCCATGATGATGAAAAGCAGTGTAGTAACATGCCCACTCCTCTTCTTGTATTGAGGATCAATTTGTAGGGGAAGCAGTAGCATGTCATCCTCTGGTTTTGGTTTTTTTTTCTCCGTGTTAGATCTGCTCCTAAATAAGCACATACACAATTATACATTTGTACCTGTATGTATGTATCCACATAGTCTCATGTATTCAAATACCTGTACAAGATGTTGATTTGTACATGTATGTCCGCTCATGCACTAGCATTTTGAAAGTATTGAAGATGAGACACTGATCTATTATAGAAAAGAAAAGCAGTTCTCATGTCAAGCATATATTATGTAAAAGAGTACAAGCACAAGACAACACTATGTTGAATTATGTGGCACTCTGTTAGCATTTGTTTATTATTTTTCACAGATCATCACCACAACATGCTATTTATAATCCAGTTAAATGCCATAGATGTTTATAAGCTGACATTTTTAGATCGTGGTGGGCTGTTTTTCACCTGGACAATTGGTCCAAGCAATGTATTTGTACCTTGCACATTGTGCAGCTACTATTTTTAAAGAAGTGGTAGAAAACCTAGTGATGAATGAACCTTGTTTCATTCTTTCTTAGTATACTAAGTGGACTCTTTTAAAATTTGTATCCTCATTTTAAGTACCAACAGATTCTTCATGGACAAAGTCTTGAAAAATTCCTGGGAGACTAAAAGAAAAAAATTCCAACAAAATTACTGGAAGCTGTGTGACAGAATTCTTTAAAAATCTCAGAAAAAATATTCAGATTTATGTACTGAAATAATAATGATTTCTGGTTTCTTAAAAATAAGAATACATAGACATTAACTTAGCATTGCAGAGACTTTCAGTGAAACCAAAGCCTTCCTGCTCTTGTAAAACATGGAGGTGATTTAATTCAGTTTGAAATATGTGTTTTCACTAATTTGATCTTCTGTTTACAATGTTATTCATATTAAACTTAAGTTTCAGGCCTGATTCTCTGACGGAGATATAGATTGCATAAAGTGTCAGGAAGATATCATCCAGCTAGAGGAAGAGGCTTTATGCAGGAATAAAAAAAGAGCATGGGATTTTATGCAGAATGGTTTAGTATATTATAAATATTATTCTTGACAAATGTGTGCTGTTCTGGTTGTAGGAGACGATGACAACAATCTCAACTCCATTTTTTATGAGCATTTGACAAGATCTCTGCAGGAGTCTCTTTGTGGAGATTTGATTCTGGGCCGCTGGGGAAACTACAACACAGGAGACTGTTTTATTCTGACATCGGATTATTTAAATGCCTTTGTGCACTTGATCGAAATTGGAAATGGCCTCGTCACCTTTCAGCTTAGAGGGCTGGAATTTCGAGGTAAGGATTCCTGATTATTTATATAACAACAAGACCAGCAACAAACCTGTCTGGCTTTTTAGTCTATCACAACTCTATAGTGGGACATAGAGTTTAAGGAATTTTCTCTCTCTTTTTACAGATATTTGTCTGTCTAAAAGCTCTGTACTTCTTTGTATCATTATTTGAATGAAAGTGTTTTGAAACAGAGATGTTAAGAAATTTGGAGTCATGTTCTGCAGTATCATAAGACTTTCAGAAAGAAGGCATGTTGAGTTATTTGCTTGGTTCACAGATCTTTTAGATTATGCTAAGTTATGTTTTCAGATTATTTCTTTCCCTCCATAACCATAAAAACCAAAGTTGTTATTTAAATTGTTCAACCCTCCCAAAACTTCTGTTTGAAATATAAACCAAATATCATCTAACTCCTCCCATGGAAAATGTCCTGTGTCAGATCATGCAAAATACCAGTGCTGAGATGATCTCCATCACAGTAGAACAGGAGAGAAGCAGTAAGTGGATCAGGACTTCATATTTCTCTTATTTGGGAAGTGCTGACTTCAGTTGAACAGGAGACTTCCTTCCTGTTCAGTATATTTCTCTGTATGGACACTCCTCTTTAAGGAATGGCAATTGCGTGCCCTTCCTCAGGGATGTGGCTTTTGTGAGACCAGTTGCTCAGACTGTCACACTCTTTTCCTTTTCTCTGTTGTTGTCCCTAAAGTAGGAAGAAAAATGAAGGTAAAACTGAAAAACTTTTAAACAGCTTTTAAATTTTTGTTTATATGTTGGCTCCCTGTGTTTGTTGTTTGGACTTGTAACCTTTCAAAGATACCACTTTGCAATTGCAAGTGATGGGAGTTTTGAAGTCCCAAAATAAAAACAGTCAAGGGCTGAGCATCTAATGGGCAACATGTAGAGGAGTGTATAGTCAAGGCGACTTTTCAACAAGGCTGAGTATGAGAAAATATGAGACAGACTCGCTTTTTGAATGCACTTGGGTGTGGGAGGATTAGAGTAGGAAATAACATGTGTGAGCTCAACTCTTGACTCTGTGACAGACTCCCTGAAGGATGTTAAACAGGTTATGGTAAATGCTTGATGTTCACTTTCCTTCCTGTATGGTGGGGATGAAGATAACATTCCTCTATCTTAAGAAAAGTTACGCAGAAAACAGGAAATACCGGAAACAGCTTAGTATTGTAGTACCTGAAGAGATAGATACCTGTTCAGTACAAAAGCAAATTGTAAGAAAAAAGCAACTGGAAAGGAAGAAAAAGAATCTGTTTATCAGCATTATAGTTTCTTCTTGTTGATGATGATGATGATGATGATGATGATGGATGCATGGCTCTGTGGCTTTCGTCAACTTCAAAGAGATTTGTGCAAGTATTATCTTCTCCTTGTGTGCCCCCAAAGTAAGCAGTGGTGCTGCTGTGTCAGAGGTAGGTACTAAGGTTAAGCACCCTATGGAGTCCACATGTGGAAGGCATTTTTTAGGTAGATTTGGAATTTGCCATTGCTTCTTTCAAATCTAAGCCAGACAAATGCAGATTTATCTTGTTCTGCCAGAACAGTTAAATACAGTGGCAATTCACATCTCTTAGTTACAATATCAGTGGTTTTGCAGGCTGATAGATCTCCAAGATAACTACTTTTTTTTTTTAAAGATGGTTTTAGTCAGCCTGTATTTTTTGTTTCCTCTTAAGTTATAGTTACAATGCTTTATGGAAACTCTGTGAAGTCAAAAACCAGTTCATTCATTTCTGCAGATTTGAAAAGAAAAGTGACTTCCAGGAGTGATTTATGTGCGTTACAGAAGGATGTATTTTGGACAGTGTTGACATTTTGTTCAGATTTGTTAGGATTTTGAGTAGGAAGGACCATGTATGCTTCCATTAACTTGTGTTCTAATTTCAGAAAATTATCTTTGCTGATCATCCTTTTTGTGTTAAAATAGTTCACTGTAGGATTTGAAACAAACAGAAAAAAGAAATCTCACTTTCATGCTTAAATTGCATGAGTTTTGTGAGGTTTTTTTCCCTTTATGCAGTTCTTGGAAACAGAGATGAAAAAAAATCTGAAAGGATCCTCAGACTATGTGCTAGCTGGATATAAAGATGAGGGGCCTGAGTAGATGGGTTTAATGAACTGACAGTTGAATGGTAAACAACTGGATAGTTTTGTTGCAAAGTGGTTTGGGAAGACTTTTGACACTGAGCCAGGAAGTTTCATTACCAGGCGAGTGCCATTTTGCATTTGAATCTGAGAGCAAAGCTCAAAAATTGCAGTGTGCCACCTGTCAAGGCACCTCTGTATTCCCTAAAATCACAATTTAAGTAACTAAATGGGTCTGAAAATTGTCCTTTCCATGCAGATTGCCTGACACTGTTCAGTGTTAGCACTGGAGCTGGTTTGCTTTGTGAATAGGCCCAGCACGTCTGCTGGCTGCAACAGGTCTTTCAGTTCAGCTGGACTGAGCCCCACAGCGTCTCCTGAGCTTCGTGGGTTGCCATTTAGAGCCAACTGAGTTCTCACCAGGAATATATGCCCTTTCCCAATCTCTCTCCTGCTCCTTGGGAGGAGGCTGGCAGCCTTACCTGAATGTTCAAAAGACCTGGACCAGGAGAGCAGAGCAAACTGTGAACTGAGAAACCACAGACAAGTTACTGGAGGAGAAGGAGAGGAGTGGGAAACTGGGAATGGGAATCTCACCTAGATTGTCTCATCTTCAGTACAAATCTAGTCCCCTGTTCCTCTTCTCCCTCAGAGTATCACTGGGGGAAGAGACTCCCCAGTACTAGAAGGAGAGAGAAAGGATGGAAATGGGAGGGAAATGGACTCCCCCCGTTCTCCTCCCTGAACCCACTAGATGATGTTATTCTAAAGATAAGAGAAAATGTAAGTGGGAAGAGTGTATGCGACTGCCCTGGAAGAACCTGGTGATTTACAAAGTCAAGAGGTGGTTGTTAAGCACTAGGTTCATTTCGTCTGCTTTGGGCATCTTACATTCCTATTTTTAGTTGTCTGGTCATGCAGTGTTTTTCACATAGGACTCTGATTCCTTTCATTGCACAGAATGGTTTCCCACAAGGAGGAAAAAAAGGGCTAGAGGAGAAACTTGAAATCTGTAATTTCTGAACATTGGCTGCTTGACTTCGATTTAAACCAAGTAATTTTGATTGAGGGCCCTAAAAATCTGCTGTTCCTTAAGTAGGAAGTTTATGTTTGCTTTGGAAATGAGTGAATCACAAGAGTGTTTTCTGTGTCTGTGACTTTTTTCTGTTTATGAGTAAACCAAAAGCAATATTTGCATTGTGGAGCTCTGGATTTTCCTATGAGTGTTTCTTCTTGTGGTAGCTGAAAATCTATGCTGGCCATACTGCCACAGTAGTGTCCAAAGGAGCAGTCATCTGAATGTAAGTGTACTGGGGGCAGGAGGCACTGCCTCCCCAGTTTGCAGTCCAGCCTAATTGAGAGTTGGCATTATAAGTGACTGATCCAGATGCCTTTCTTACTATATGTAATAGAAGCATTTGGCTCAGCTTTTAAATAAAATAATAATAATTAAAAAACCCAAACCAAAATGCCACCCATGCAGGCAGGGTAAGAAGATACAGATTGAGCAGACTGAAGGAAGAGAGTCAGCAATTCCTCTCATCCACATTTAGTCCTGTTTAAATTAAGCGTCTTGTATGAATTAGTTCTTCACTCTCCCTTTCTACGGAGAGGGAGGGGATATGCCTCCATCGCATCATTCATCCCATGGGTAAAGCAGCGGGGAGGATCAATAGCTCCAGGCATTGAGAGGAGACACCCAACTCATCCTTTACTGAAAGTGAAGAGAGGGTAATCATGGGCTCAGGTGAAAAAATTCAGGTAACTGCACGTTGGTTTGGGGAAATGAAGCCCTTTGGTAACTTAACTCTACTGTCTGTGTTAGACCACAGCGGTATGCTAAAAGCAGCCTACCAGAAGAAATATAAAATGTATCATTTAATTGGAAAGGAAGAGACAGGGGAGAACTCGCAATCGGGGAACAAGCAGAAAGAATGTCAAAATCTCTAGCTCCTGCGAGTTCCCTGTAGAACAAGGAAGACTTAAAATATTTTCCTGTTTTGGTCTGTGCCTCTACAAAAATGTCTTTTGGAGAATATCCAGTTGAGCATTACGTGTGCTGAAATAACTTATGGATGGTGATGCTGAAATCTTGAGGAGCTGTTTCTGAACTCATGCCTGGTATTCTTCAATCTCAGCTGTGATTTTTTTGTTACTGCGTGTTGCACGTGCGATGTTCATGCTTCACTTGGAACTTCATTAGATGAATCAAGGCAAGAAGCACAGAGCAGACACAGATGTAAGTGTACGTAGTGGAAGGCAGCTGTGACAGCAGGATGGGATTGCCCGTGGGGCTTTCTCTGTGCTTGCTGGCTTATTTCCCACACAAAATGCTGTATGAACACAGCCAGTCTTAGGGTATCAGCTTTAGGCACAGTAATGAAGTCTGAGAAATAAGGACAGTTACTCATTTCTGCAGTGTATGTGTACTCTGTATAGTTTTATTACAGTAGCAAGTAGATTACCAGTGTAAGGAATATTTATTGGTGTTTGGTTTTGTGTCTGAAGGCTCTGCAGCACGAGCAAGTATAATTCTTTATTTAAAGAGTGCTTGCAACTTTCACATCTTGCTTTTACAAATCACTTCTTGCTGTTGGGAAATAAACGTACCCACCTTCATGTCTTTCCTGAGACCACACTTGAGGTATGTTCAGTGTATGCACCAGACTGTCAAAAGGTACTGATAAATTATAAGGAGTTCAGAGAAAAGCAGCCATTTTAAACACATCTCTTTAGAGAGAAGGTTGAAAACCAAAAGTACGCTGTTTGTGGGAAAGAAGAAAGGCAGAGACACACATTGCTCGGAAATATTAGAGTCATTGAACAGAACGGATGCAAAGGGGTTTCTTTAATCTTGGTGATTTAATTGGAAAGAATGGCATGAAACAGGAAAGAGGATA